TACATACACAAGAATAATAGAACACACAAACAAGTTTTTTAAAGTGTTTTAAAAACTACCCATCTACATGTAGCCTACTACAAACACCTATTTTAAATGCAGACTGTAAACACAAAAACGAAAACACGTGACTGAGTACAATAACAACAACAACAACAATAACAATGTCCTTTCCCAGTTGCATTTCATCCGTTGCTACCTGGAAGAGGCGAAGGGGAAGAGCGCTCCACTTCCGCCCGAAGAGCAGGAGCGCACGGAGGAGGAGATGCTGATGGAGATCAGCCGGTCAGTGTTGCCGTCCGTCTGTCCGTCCGTCCGTCCGCAGGGAGGGAGGGGGGACTGCAAGGGGTTGTTGTTGTTATTGTTATTATTGACACCCCACTCTCCTCTCCTTCCAGGTTCGCCATGGCGTCTCACTTCTTCTGGGGCCTGTGGTCCATCTTGCAGGCCAAGATCTCCACCATTGAGTTTGGCTACCTGGTGAGTGGGGCGTGATGGGGAAAAGGGACCCCCAAGGGCTATCTACAATCCGATCCCTCCTGACAGATAGCCATGCAGCCTCAAATGAAGAGAGCCTCTCAAATGCCAGCGCCTTCTGCCATCATACAATCTGAGAGTTGGAAAGGGGCCCCCAAAGGCCATCCGGACCAACCCCATTCTGCACAACCTAAACACTCCCGACAGACAACACTCCAGGTTCTGGTTGAAAAAATCCAAAGAAGAAGACTGCTTCTCCAACGAGAGACAGACATGGGAGATAAATAAATATGATCACTGGGTTGTTGTAGGTTTTTTCGGGCTATATGATCATGTTCTAGAGGCATTCTCTCCTGACGTTTTGCCTGCATCTATGGCAAGCATCCTCAGAGGTAGTGAGGTCTGTTGGGACTAGGAAAATGGGTTTATATATCTGTGGAAAGACCAGGGTGGGACAAAGGACTCTTGTCTGCTGGAGCCAGGTGTGAACGTTTCAACTGATCACCTTGATTAGCATTTGATTGCCTGGCAGTGCCTGGAGAAATCTTTTGTTGAGAGGTGATTAGATGTCCTTGTTTGTTTCCTCTCTGTTGTTGTGCTTTGGAATATGCTTTCAGAGCAGAGTCCAGGTTTTTTTCCCTATGTTTATGTCAGAGTTATGCTTTTCCTGAGACTGACCACTAGAGGGCAGGCCTGGCCAAAAGGCTGACCAGGCTGACCGGAGCAATGGTCTCACAAGCAAAGCAGCTACACAAAGAACACCAACAACACAATCCCTACATAAAAAGAAGGCAAACAATGCAAACAGCAAAACAATACAAAAGAATCCAGAGTTAAACATAATAATAAATATTATAATAATAAGGTTGCTGTGAGTTTTCTGGCCATGTTCCAGAAGCATTCTCTCCTGACATTTTGCCCGCATCTCTGGCAGATGTCCTCAGGTTGTGAGGTCTATTGGAAACCAGGCAAGTTGGGTTTGTATGTATGTGTGTGTGTGTGTGTGTGTGTGTGTGTGTGTGTGTATATATATATATATCCCTGTGGAATGATGTCCAGGGTGGAAGAAAGGACTCTTGTCTGCTGGAGACAAGTGTCAATGTTGCTGTTAGCCTCCTTGTTTAGCATTGAATGGCCTAGCAGCTTCAGAGCCAGGCTGCTTCCTGCCTGGGGGAATCCTTGGTTGGGAGGTGTTAGCTGGTCCTGATTTATTCTTGTCTGGAATTCCCCCGCTTTTGAGTACTCTTTTTATTATTATTTTTATTGTTATTATTATTATTATTTTCATTTCATTTATTATTTTATTCTATTTATTATTATTACAGTTATCATTTTACTCTATTATTACACCTTTATTATTTTACCGTATAATTGTTGTTATTGCTACATTCATTATTTTACTGTTATTATTACTATTTTCATTTCATTTATAATTCTATTTATTATTATTACATTTACCATTGTACTCTATTATTACACCTTTATTATTTTACTGTATATTTGTTGTTATTGCTACATTCATTATTTTACTCTTTTTATTATTATTGTTGTTGTTGTTGTTATTATTTTCTTATACTCGAGTATATACGGTACTTCACAACCTCTGAAGATGCCTGGCATAGATGTGGGCGAAACGTCAGGAGAGAATGCTTCTGGAACATAGCCAGGCAGCCTGGAAAACTCACAGCAACTCATAATAATAATAATAATAATAATAATAATAATAGGTTTTTTTGGCCTGTCTTACTCTCCTCAAGGTGAGGAGAGCAAGACGTAAACAAACACACAATTGTTTGTTTACACTAAAACGTAAACAAACACACAATTGTTATAAAATGCTCTGTAAAATCCATACATTGAAGCATCTGGGCATCAAACTCACCCTTGGCCTTCCTTGTCTCTCCTTCAGGAGTATGCCCAGTGCCGCTTCGAGGCCTACTTCCAGCAAAAGGCTGCCTGCCAGTGACCAGTGACCCTTTGGCCGGAGGAGGAGACAGCTGGACATCCGCTCTGCCTGGACGGAAAGGGACCCTTCTTCTGCTGCTGGACCAAAGCCCCTTCTCTCTCTCTCTCTCTCTCTCTCTCTCTCTCTCTTCCTTCAAAGGCTATCGGGGTTGGCTGGCCAGCCCTTGACCTTTGGGGTCAAAACGGTTGGACATCTCAAGACGCTGCAATAGAGCCTCCAGACTTGGTTTTGTGAAATGGGACTACAAGGGGGCAGATCTAAGGGACGGGTAGCAGGGACATCCAAACTGGAGAGCTAATGCGGTTCAGCACCCTTTTAGACTGCCATGGGTCAGTGCTGTGCAACTTTGGGGCTTAGTACGAGGGTTGAATGAAAAGTAATGCCTCCACCTTCGTAACTCCTCTACAGATGGCAGTACTGGTATATGGCAGGTACTGGCTTGTTCAGTAGACTCTCCTTGGTGGGAAGCCTTAGCATTGAACACTTGGCAGTACTGGTATGTGGCAGGCACTGGCTTATTTAGTAGACTCTCCTCTACAGTTCCATTTTGGCAGGAAGCCTCAGCATTGAATGCTTGGCAGTACTTGTATATGGCAGTACTGGCTTGTTCAGTAGACTCTCCTTGGTGGGAAGCCTTAGCATCAAACGCTTGGCTGTACTGGTATGTGGCAGGTACTGGCTTGTTCAGTAGACTCTCCTCTATAGTTCCATTTTGGCGGGAAGCCTTAGCATTGAACGCTTGGCTGTACTGGTATGTGGCAGGTACTGGCTTATTTAGTAGACTCTCCTCTACAGTTCCATTTTGGCAGGAAGCCTCAGCATTGAACACTTGGCAGTACTTGTATATGGCAGGTACTGGCTTGTTCAGTAGACTCTCCTCTACAGTTCCATTTTGGTGGGAAGTCTCAGGATTGAACGCTTGGCAGTACTTGTATATGGCAGGTACTGGCTTGTTCAGTAGATTCTCCTCTACAGTTCTATTTTGGTCAATGCGACTTAAACAACGTGCAGTCATTGAATTCTTGACAGCAGAAGGTGTCACCTCAACATCTTTAAACTTACGTGCCCAACGATGCACTCACATCAACACGATCACCACAAAGAGCTTGCATTCTCTGATGAATCTCCTTTGGGGTGACACCTTCTGCTGTCAAAAATTCAATGACTTCACGTTGCTTAAGTCGCATTGACTGACCGTCTGCGCAGGGTTCCATACTTCACACTTTAACAATGCAACCATTCAATGCTAAGGCTTCCCACCAAAATGAAACTGTAGAGGAGAGTCTCCTAAACAAGCCAGTACCTGCCACATAAGCTGCGTAATTTGCATTGACCGACTGTCTGCGCAGGGTTCCATACTTTGCACTTTAACAACACGACCGTTCAATGCTAAGGCTTCCCACAAAATGGAACTGTAGAGGAGAGTCTACTGAACAAGCCAGTACCTGCCACATACGTTGCTTAAGTCGCATTGACTGACCGTCTGCGCAGAGTTCCATACTTTGCACTTTAACAACATAACCGTTCAATGCTAAGGCTTCCCACCAAAATGGAACTGTAGAGGAGAGTCTACTGAACAAGCCAGTACCTGCCGCATATGTTGCTTAATTCGCATTGACCGACCATCTGCGCAGTGTTCCATGCTTCGCACTTTAACAACACAACCGTTCAATGCTAAGGCTTCCCGCCATAATGGAACTGTAGAGGAGAGTCTACTGAACAAGCCAGTCCCTGCCGCACACCAGTACTGCCATCCGTTGAGTTACGAAGGTGGAGGCATTACTTTTCATTCAACCCTTGTAGTTTTGCAAGGCCTTTAGTTTTGCAAACGATACAAACCCCAGGATTCCGTAGCATTGAGCCGCGGCACTTAAAGTGGTGCAAGTCTGCATTCGTTCTGCAGTGTAGATGCACCCCTTCAAGGCCCCATCTGCACTGCCATGTAATGCAAATGTAGATTAATGTAATCCATGCCTGATGCGGTTCAAAGTGCATTCCTTGCCGTGTAGACGGGGCCCAAGGAAGGTGGGATTTGCTAGAGCTTGGCATCGTAGAAGGGGAGCATGTCATTGCAGAGGGGTCTCACCTCTGAGCACAATAACGGTGCCTTCCCCCCATTTGCACTCATTCCTCGATGGGCACTACCCACACGCTCCTTCCCTTCTCTCCTTCCATGGCTTTTGAGGCCTCCTTCCTTCCTGCCCCATCTGCTCACCCTTTGCTCAGGGTGGCTCCCCATTCTGCTGCTGCAACGGCACAAAACACAACAGCTGCGCAATGTATCCTCTACCAATAAACACTCGTTGCTTGGTGCCACCAGACCTTTCCTCCGTCTGCCGTGACTTCTTTGCATTATCGTGGTGCTCAAACCATGAAGGTCCTATTGATTCACATCTAGTACTTGCTCACCCTTTTGGGGATCTACGAGGGTTGACCGAAAAGTAATGCATCCACCTCTGTTACTTGGGTTTGGATGGGAATATTTTAATCAACGCAGAAATACTCCTTATAAGGTGCTCTTTAACTACCACGAATCACTTTCCCACATAATCACCAGGCAATCGGATACGTTTCTGCCAACGATGAACAACCACTATTCACTTTCCCACATAATCACCAGACAATCGGATACGTTTCTGCCAGCGATGAACAACCACTCTTCACTTTCCCACATAACCACTAGACAATCGGATACATTTCTGCCAACAATGAATAACCACTATTCACGTTCCCACATAATCATTAGACAATTGGATACATTTCTGCCAACGATGAACAACCAGTCTTCACTTTTCCACATAACCACTAGTAAATCGGATATGTTTCTGCCAACAATGAATAACCACTATTCACTTTCCCACATAACCACTAGACAATTGGATACATTTGATGAACAACCACTCTTCACTTTTCCACATAACCACTAGACAATTGGATACATTTCTGCCAATGATGAATAACTACTATTCACTTTCCTACATAATCACCAGACAATTTGATACATTTGAACACCCACTCTTCACTTTTCCGCATAATCATGAGACAATTAGATACATTTCTGCCAATGATGAACAAGTACTATTCACTTTCCCACATAATCACCAGACAATTGGATACGTTTCTGCCAGCGATGAACAACCACTATTCACTTTCCCACATAATCACCAGACAATTGGATACATTTCTGTCAATGATGAACAAGCACTATTCACTTTCCCACATAATCACCAGACTATTGGATACATTTCTGCCAACAATGAACAACAATTCTTCACTTTTCCACATAATCACCAGACAATCGGATACGTTTCTGCCAACGATGAACAACCACTCTTCACTTTTCCACATAATCATGAGATAATTGGATACGTTTCTGCCAACGATGAACAACCATTCTTCACTTTTCCACATAATCACCAGACAATCGGATACGTTTCTGCCAACGATGAACAACCACTATTCACTTTCCCACATAATCACCAGACAATTGGATATGTTTCTGCCAATGATGAACAACCACTCTTCACTTCCCCACAATCACCAGACAATTGGATACATTTCTGCCAACAAAGAACAGGTTTTCTGAAGCTGTCACGGAAGAAGTCAACACTCTGTTTCACAAAACCAGCGTCTCACAGTTCTCTCAACCACTATTCACTTTTCCACATAATCACCAGACAATTGGATATGTTTCTGCCAGTGATGAACAACAACTATTATTCTCTTTCCCACATAATCACCAGACAATTGGATACATTTCTGCCAATATGAACAACCACTCTTCACTTTTCCACATAATCATCAGACAATCGGATACATTTCTGCCAATGATGAACAACTACTATTCACTTTCACACATAATCACCAGACAATCGGATACATTTCTGCAAACAATGAACAACCACTGTTCCCACATAATCACCAGACAATTGGATACGTTTCTGGCAACAATGAACAAGTTTTCTGAAGTTGTCACAGAAAAAGTCAACACTCTGTTTCGCAACCAGCGTCTCACAGTTCTCTCAACAACTATTCAATTCCCCGCATACGTTGCTTAAGTCGCATGTAATGACCCTCTGCGCAGGGTTCCATACTTCACACTTTAACAACGCAACCGTTCAATGCTAAGGCTTCCTGCCAAAATGGAACTGTAGAGGAGAGCCTACTGAACAAGCCAGTACCTGCCGCATACGTTGCTTAAGTCGCATTGACTGACTGTCACTTGACAGAGAAAGAAGGTAGACACACAAGCTGTATAGCGGGCACAGGCAAACTTGGGCCCTCCCTCCAGGTGTTTTGGACTTCAACTCCCACAATTCCTAACAGCCTACCGGCTGTTAGGAATTGTGGGAGTTGAAGTCCAAAACACCTGGAGGGAAGGCCCAAGTTTGCCTGTGCCAGCATATAACTACATTGGCTATACTCTGCAATGTAAACATTACCATTCCTAGGATGTTTCCTTCCTGCCTGGCATAAGAGAGCTGGCCTGGGTGGGCTTTGTGGTGTCTCTTCCAATGCTACTTCTATGGCACAGCAATGCGCTCCTTGCACCTGCCTTGGCTCGGCTATGTTTGCAAACACAGGCTCAAAATAGAACCAGCGTCCAGTCCTGCGCTCGGAGCGGTCAAGGGCCAGAGCAGCCTTGCAAGTCCCCCTTGCTCTCCGGCCATGCCCCACAACAGTGTCCTCCTGCTGCGTTCCGCCCTTTCGGTCGCCCTGGGATGGATGCAGCTGCCCGCACAGCTCCTGGCCTGGCTGACCGGTGCCCTCCAGGCCGCCCGGAGGCTTTGTCCGAAGTTTCTCTGGACAGAGGCCCCAGCACAGCCCCTTCCTGAGCCGTGGGAGAGCTGCCCCGAACTCAGAGTCTACAGAGGAGAAGGGGACAGCGGAGGATGCGGACTGTTGACGGTGTGCACAGACCCCCACAGCTTCCAGGTACGCACTGGAAGGGCACACGTTCCAAAGTGGGCAGTTGTCCATCCCTGCAAACCCCTTTCTCCAAAGCAATGGGAAGGTGAAAGGTCAAGGTCAAGGTTTGCAAACAGTTGTCCCCTGTGAGTTGGAAAGGGACACAAACACCCTGCAAGGGAGCGTCCGCACTGCAGGATAGATACAGTTGAACTACAATGACAAACTGCTAGGGGATTGTGGGAGTTGTAGTCTGGTGAAGCACCAACATTATTATTATGACAACCACTGAAAACCTGGGAAATAGATATGTTGTTTTCACTGCCCACACAACTAAAAAACAATATCTGGAAGGCAGTGGGATTCCTACCCTACTGACCCCAGAACCCCTAACTCTATAGCCAGTGATGCAGTCCTCATTCTTCCTTACTTACTTAGGCGATCCCTCATAGATCAAGGATGATGGTCTTCCAGGTGTAGTGTCTTGGTGGTGGGTCTGTACATGGCTGTGGAGCCCTGTTCTTGACCCCCATGTTCTCCCACAGTGAGGGCATCAGTTTCCAGACGGAAGGCGGTCCTGGCTTGACATCAACCCTTGCCTCTTCGAATTCTGCAGCACTGCTGGTCACAGCTGACTTCCAGCTGGAGCGCTCGAGGCTTCCCAGGATTTTCTTCCCCCTAGTTCACAGACTAGAGCACTGGTTCTCAACCTTCCTAATGCTGTGACCCCTTAATACAGTTCCTTATCTTGTGGTGACCCCTAACCATACTATTGTTTTAGTTGCTACCCCTCTATTCTGTTTTGGTTAGACCACATCTGGAATATTGTGTCCAGTTCTGGGCACCACAATTCAAGAGAGATATTGACAAGCTGGAATGTGTCCAGAGGAGAGCGACTAAAATGATAAAAGGTCTGGAGAACAAGCCCTATGAGGAGCGGCTTAAGGAGCTGGGCATGTTTAGCCTGAAGAAGAGAAGGCTGAGAGGGGATATGACAGCCATGTATAAATATGTGAGAGGAAGCCACAGGGAGGAGGGAGCAAGCTTGTTTTCTGCTTCCTTGGAGATTAGGACGCAATGGAGCCATGGCTTCAAACTACAAGAGAGGAGATTCCATCTGAACATGAGGAAGAACTTCCTGACTGTGAGAGCCGTTCAGCAGTGGAACTCTCTGCCCCGGAGTGTGGTGGAGGCTCCTTCTTTGGAAGCTTTTAACAGAGGCTGGATGGCCATCTGTCAGGGGTGCTTTGAATGCAATATTCCTGCTTCTTGGCAGAATGGGGTTGGACTGGATGGCCCATGAGGTCTCTTCCAACTCTTTGATTCTAGGATTCTATGATTCTATGATTCTATGACTTGATATCTGTCATTTTACTACGGTTATAAATCGTAATGTAAATATCCGATATACAGGATGTATTTTCCTTCACTTGACCAAATTGAGCACAAATACCCGATACACCCAAGTTTAAATACTGGTTGGGTGAGGATTGATTTTGTAATTTGGGAGTTGTCATTTTTGGGATTTATAGTTCACCTATAATCAAACAGCATTCTGAAATCCACTAGCGATGGATTTGAATCGAACTTGGCACACAGAACTCCCATGACCAACAGAAAACCCTGGAAAGGTTTGGTGGGCATTGACCTTGAGTTTGGGAGCTGTAGTTCACCTATATCCAGGGAAACACTGTGGATTCATGCAATGATGGATCTGGACCAAACGGACCAAACTTGGCATGAATACTCAATATGCTCAAATGTGAACACTGGTGGAGTCTGGGGAAAATGGACCTTGACATTTGGGATATGTAGTTGTTGGGATTTATCGTTCACCCACAATCAAAGAGCATTCTGAACTTGACCAACAATAGAATTGGGTCAGACTTTCCACATGGAATCCCCATGACCAACAGAAAATAGTATGTTTTCTGATGGTCTTTGGCGACCCCTTTGACACCACCTCATGACCCCCTCAGGGGTCCCGACCCCCAGGTTGAGAAACACTGGACTAGAAATTAATTTAAAATTGTCCCTTTAATACTTTAATATTTACTTACTTACTTACCTACTTAGGTGATCCCTCGTTGTCTGAGTAGGATTGTCTTCCAAGATCGGTGTACTGGTGGTGGGTCCATAGGTGGCTGTGGAGCCCAATTCTTGACCTGCATGTTCTCCCACAGTGAGGGCATTGGTTTCCAGGTGGAAGGCAGTCCCGGTCAAGGTTGGCTTGACGCGCCTTCCGCTTCGAATTCTGCAGCACTGCTGGTCACAGCTGACTTCCAGTTAGAGCACTCAAGAGCCAGGGCTTCCCATTCTCGGTGTCTGTGCCACAGGTTTTAAGGTTAGCTTTAAGCCAGGGGTCCTCAAACTAAGGCCCAGGGTCCGGATATGGCCCTCACTCTATAGCCAATGAGAAAGACAACATCCCTAAGGAGCCCTAGGTTCCACCAATGTTGCTGGTTGACTTCATCTTCAAATTGACCAATGGACTCAATGGGGAGCCAAGGTTTAGGTAAATCCCATCGCAGTGGCCTTCCTTCTCTGTGGGAAGGCCACATGCGTCCAGAGGAGGGCGACTAAAATGATCAAGGGTCTGGAGAACAAGCCCTATGAGGAGCGGCTTGGGGAGCTGGGCATGTTTAGCCTGAGGAAGAGAAGGCTGAGAGGAGATATGATAGCCATGTATAAATATGTGAGAGGAAGCCACAGGGAGGAGGGAGCAAGCTTGTTTTCTGCTTCCCTGGAGAGAGACTAGGACGCAATGGAACAATGGCTTCAAACTACAAGAGAGGAGATTCCATCTGAACATGAGGAAGAACTTCCTGACTGTGAGAGCCGTTCAGCAGTGGAACTCTCTGCCCCGGAGTGTGGTGGAGGCTCCTTCTTTGGAAGTTTTAAACAGAGGCTGGATGGCCATCTGTCAGGGGTGATTTGAATGCAATATTCCTGCTTCTTGGCAGGGGGTTGGACTGGATGGCCCATGAGGTCTCTTCCAACTCTTTGATTCTATGATTCTATGAGTGGAGGAGGAGTGTGGTGGAGGCTCCTTCTTTGGAAGCTTTTAAGCAGAGGCTGGATGGCCATCTGTCAGGGGTGATTTGAATGCAATATTCCTGCGTCTTGGCAGAATGGGGTTGGACTGGATGGCCCAGGAGGTCTCTTCCAACTCTTTGATTCTATGATTCTATGGGGCTGTCCTGGGTTCTAGCCTGAACTTTAAAGGAGACCTGCAACATGCTGAACTCGATTCTGGGGTCTTTTGCAGTTCAGCAGCACAAGGGTTTATCCCACTGCGCCACTCTTCTTTGGGGGTCTCTTCCAACTCTATGATTCCATGACTCCTTCTGTGCCCCACAGGTACACCTTCCTCACCTGGCACGCCACAGCGCCTACTTTGCGGCTCTCTCTCGGTCCCACATGCGGGAGACCTCCAGAGGCCACCTAGATCTGACGCACGTCCCTTCGTCTGCTTTCCATGCCGTCCTGGAGTGGGTCTTCTTTGGCCGCTTCTTCCTGGAGGAAGAGGACCTCTTACCTGCCATCCAGGTGGGCAGCTACCTGGCACTGCCAGGCTTCCTGGACCGGTGCCGTGCAGCGCTGAGGCCCTTCTTGGCCCCCCAGAACTGCCTCTCCTTCCTGCACTTTGCAGAGAGCATGGCCTGCCCCGAACTCAGGGCGGAGGTGTGCAGATACCTGAGTGACCTCCTCCTGGAGCTGACACCGGCCATCACTGGACAGCTGGACCCACACCTGCGGGAAGAACTGGCTCAGATGCGCCTGGAGGGACTGCCTAACCTTTGCATCCTGAGGAAGGAGAACGTTGTGACCCCACAAACCGGGGACCTGCCCAGGGGTCTCTTCCGCCGACCTTTGCCCCCCAAGGAGGGCGAGTGGCACTGTTTTGCCCAACTACCTTTCCAAGCCGAGAAGTGGAGCTTCAGCGTGGCCCAGCTGCTCAACTACCTCTTCCTTTCGGGGGGTTTCCGGGAGAAAAAGGGGGCCAGGGGCTTCGCCTTCTGCCCGGCGGCCTTCCGCTACAACCCCTTGACCGGCGCCTGGACCCCCATCGCAGCCCCACAGAAGGTCAGGCCCTGGACTAGAGGTCAAGGCAGGGATGGACAAGCAAGTGGAGGCATTGAGAAAGAGAAGGGGGAGAGGGGACACCAGAGCCATGCTCAACCGTTTCAAAGGAGTAGAGTCATAAAATTGGGACCCCCAAAAGGCATTTAGACCATCCAAGCCTTCCCAACAGATGGACATCCAGATTATTATTATTATTATTATTATTATTATTATTATTATTATTAGGAAGGCACCATCAAAGTCCTCCCTACATATGGCCATCCAGATTGTTTCATAATAATAATAATAATAATAATAATAATAATAATAATAATAATAGTCGAAGGCTTTCATGGCTGGAATCACTAGGTTCTTGTGGGTTTTTTCGGACTATAGAGCTATGTTCTAGAGGCATTTCTCCTGACGTTTCGCCTGCATCTGTGGCAAGCATCCTCAGAGGTAGTGACTACCTCTGAGGATGTTGCCATAGATGCAGGCGAAACGTCAGGAGAAATGCCTCTAGAACATGGCTCTATAACCCGAAAAAACCCACAAGAACCTAATAATAATAATAATAATAATAATAATAATAATAATAATACTAGGAAGGCACCATTCAAGTCCTCCCTACATATTGCCATCCTGATTCTGGTTCATAATAATAATAATAATAATAATAATAATAATAATAATAATAATAATACAACGACAACAACAACAAACAACAACAACAACCCTCTTCTTTCTGCCAGGCAGGAAGTCTCCCTCCCAACCCTCCTGATGGATGGATATCCAACCTCTGCTTAATAATAACAACAACAACAACAACAATTGAATATTCTTCTTATTGCTGTTGTTGTTGTTGTTGTATTATTATTATTATTATTATTATTATTATTATTATTATTATTAGAAAGGCACCATCCAAGTCCTCCCTACATATGGCCATCCAGATTCTGTTTCATAACAACAACAACAACCCCCTTCTTTCTGCCAGGCAGGAAGTCTCCCTCCCAACCCTCCTGATGGATGGACATCCAACCTCTGCTTAATAATAATAATAATAATAATAATAATAATAATAATAATAGAATCTTCTTCTTATTGCTATTGTTGTTGTTGTTGTTGTTGTTGTTGTTATTATTATTATTATTATTATTATTATTATTATTATTATTATTATTAGAATGGTACCATCCAAGTCCTCCCTATATATGGCTATCCAGATTCTGAACTTGGTTTCAAATGATGCCTGATCTGACAGGTTTTCCCTTGAAGCAAACTTTATATCCCAAAACTCAGAAATTGGTTTTGTTTCCTTCCACCTTTTCCCTTTATCAGACGCAGCCTTTCAGAGCGACGTAAATACTGAGATTGTTGCCGATCCTGGCTAATCTCCAGCCGCCTATTCTTCAGCTCCCTATCTGGCTGCTCATTAAAATTCCCAGGTGTCAGATGGTTTTCCAACCCCAAATCTTGAGAGCTCACAGAGAGAGGGAGTGAACCATCATCGCTAGGCCCAGCAGGGATATTCTCATGAGAAACTGCCCTTTGCACTGGGGCCTCTCTGTCATTGTCTGTATGAAAATCATTGACCACACCATCTCCATCTTGCACCTCAGCCTCGGCAACATCATTTCCCACATCAGGATCCTGAAACACAAGCACAGGCTGATTCCCAACAGATCCATTATATAAAGGGCTAAAAGTTATATAGCAAGTAATAGATATCTAAGCATGATTAAGTCTTTTTCCCAGACCAGCCAGATAAAGGATGTTGCAATGACCCAAAGTCTCCTTTTGTCTTGACCCAATTCTCAATGCAAAACGATAGCTGGGTAATTTTGTTTTCTGTCCCAGAAATAAAACAGAACATTTAAAAATAGATGTATTGGAATAAAAATGTAATAAAAATAGTTTGTAGAGGAGAAAGAGAGGGCAAGGGGTGATGGGGAGTCCTGGGAGCTTGATGCAAAAGAGAAGGTGCTGCTGTACCTCATTCTGGCATGTTGCCCTTGGAGAAACTATAAATCCCTAACTATAAATCCCTTTTTATTAGTTGCGGGGGTAGTTGTGGGGGTAGACAACAGAACCATTGTGTTTGACTTCCTTAACTTAAATAATCATTGTCTCTGGTCATGTAAACATGTTGTTTACCTAAGAGTCTCCCCACATCAGTTATGTCAGCAGTTTAGCAGTTTCCTCCATCAGCAGTTTTCATGTCACAAGTTAATTTTGGTCAGTGATGGGTTAGGAACTGAGGCATCCATAAATCTTGTCTCTCTCAGTTCCCCGCTTCGTGACCCAAGAAAAACAATCTGTTCTCTGAGCAGTTTGGGGCTTCCATCTTCTTAGGATGGTGATTTCAGCCTTGCCAAGTATACACACACTCTCCAAAATATAATAACACAGTGAGAGTAGTAGAGAAGATTTTAGTTAAATAATTTAGATGGGGATATATATATAAGCTAGGAACTGGGAACTACTGGAACTGAGAGACTTAAAATGATTCTTCAGAAGATTTCCGCTGCCACCATTCCTATAATAATCAGGCTGAGGTAATATTGATAGTTTGTTCAGTAACACACACTGTGTCACTATAGTTTCTTAGAAGCTGCTGTGAAGCTGACTTTAGTAATGCTTTGACCACAAAGGTATTCACACTGAGGCTGGTATAAGTTGATAAAAATAACAAGAACGTTTATTGAACAGGCTTGAATAATTCAGGTACAAATGCTTAATGGTTTCAGTAAAATACTGGCACAAAAAGCTTGTGGTTGCGTTAGAGTCAAAATCTTAAAACTTCTGGGTTACAAGTCTTCAAAGTTCCACCACAGAAAATTACTTTAGGAAATGAATCTCTGAAAGTAACTCGCAAAAATGCCCCTTAGGAATCTAGCCAAAAACCCTGAACTAGACTTCCTTAGGAATTGAACAGACCACTAACAGGGTACTACTCCTCCACAGTATTCTAGCTATATTTTCAATAACTCTTCTGAATACTACACAAAAGACTGATCCAAACTTCTTCTTCAATCCCAAACTCGTTTTCACTAACACCAACACTTCTTCTTTCTAACAGTTCCACTCTCTCAGCCTCTCTTTCTCTTCCTCAGCGCCGGCGCCACTTCAGTCTGGTTGCATCGGGGGCCCACCTCTTTGCCGTGGGGGGCTGGCACCTGGGCTCCCTCCTGGGGCCAGACAGCAGCACCTGCCTCTACGGAACGGTGGAGCGCTACGACCCCTGGGCTGACCAATGGGCCCTGGTCTCCTCACTGCCCCTGGGGGAGCTCCCCTTCGCCGTCTCCCTGTCCCACGACCTGCCCCTCTGTGCCGCCCACCAAGGATCCCTCTTCGCCTTGGGCAGCCTCCGCGGCACCGGAGAGAAGCTCCTCCTCAGGTACGACGTGGAGGCAGGTGAGCAGCGCCTGCGTTCGGCCCGTGTGCAGAGTGCCAGGAAGTCTCTAAAATAGAATAATATTTCAGGGACTGCAAAACAGTGTTAGCAAGATAAAGTGTAATCAAATGTAATTCTGCTAATTGCTAATGAATTGCTTTGCCAATGTGTTGCTGAAGGCTATCATTACAGGAATCACTGGGTTGCTGTGAATTTTTCAGGCTGCCTGGCCATGTTCTCTCCTGATGTTTTGCCTACATCTGTTTAATGGCATCTTCAGAGGTTTTGTTGGCAGTGAGGCAAGTGTGTGTGTGTGTGTGTATCTGTGTGTATATGTGTATATCTACATGGAATAACACCCAGGGTGGGAGAAAGAACCCTTGTCTGTTTGGAGCAAGTGTGAATGTTGCAATTAGCAAGCTTGAATAGCACTGAGTAGCCTTGCAGCTGCAAAGTCAATCAGTTTGGGTATGTGCCATCACACCCAGACACTATAAAGTTAAAACTAAGATGTGCTTCTGAAATGGCAGGGAGAAGGTTTGAGGAAAAGAGACAAAGAGAGATCCTGAGAACTGAAAAGCACGGCTTTATTCTCAGTTGGCGCCAACCGGATATGGACCCTCCTGGTAAGCCAGGAAAGAAGGGTTCAGAACAAAGGAAATCCTTGGTTTATATACCTTTTAAAATAATTATGCATGCATCATACAGACATCACAATGTGCGTCACAAATTTCTCATATTCCTTTCCCCATTCCCTTTATGTATATATGTTAGTATTTTGGAAAATGAAGGAAAAGGCCTTCTTTTTCATGAAACCAGCACCTCATGGCTCCTGGAAGTTTCTCCATTTCCTGGGCCAGTTAATCCCTAGACAAAAGACTCAACCAAAACCCATTTGCATGGACAATAAATAAATGGCTCTTATCAGATCGGACCTCTGAGGGCTTAGCCAGGCCATCTGGAATGATAAGGCCTATGGACTTTAGACTCACCCAACACAAAGGGCAATTCTCTATCTGCGAGGACCAGGGATTTTGCCACAGCCTTATCCATTGTATCACATCCTGCGCAGCCGAAACTAAACATTAACTTCATCAATGAATTCCATATCTAGGAACGTAAAAACAAAGGACCTAGCCTCCTGGGGCTAGACGACAATGCTGTTTCGAAAAAATTAAAGCAATAACTTTGGTCTGGCTTGAGGGCCTAAGCTATCGCTGGATCATTGTGCAAACATTAGTCACTTTAATCCTTCATGTTTCCATTCTCTTCATTGTTTCCCACCTGGCCTGCCTCCTCCCTTCCTATTGCCTGAGAAGCCAAAGCGGGGCTGGCGCTCAGATTGGACAGAGCGCAGCCTAGCCGACCGCACCTCCCAGCCAGCTGATGACTCCAGCCAATCAGCGTGAAGCCGGCTAGGGGGGTGGGAGCGGGAAATTTGAATTTGACAGCTCTGTATTTCCTATAAATATTGTATTATTTCCCCCAACGAGTCATGTCAGCTCCTGGGCAAATGATTGCGGTTGTCATCCGTTCTAGCTGGAATGAAATAAACATCTCGGTGGCTTTCCTTTAACTTGGTGAGAATTTATTAGGAGAAAATTAGGGAAAAATTCTTTTGGGTGCTTGCTGCCTCGCCAGGGTCCTGGATTTCCTTTTTGGGTCTGGCCAGTTTCTGCTCTGCCAGGGCCTCCCAAATTTGTGCTTGACATCAGTGGTCTGGCTGATGTTGCCTGGAGGCATCCCTGTTTGGGAGGTGTTAACTGGCCTTTGATTGATTGCTGTCTGGAGTCCTCCTGTGTCTGAGTGGTGTTCATTATTTACTGTCTTGAAAATAAACAAACGCCAGAATCAGGACAGTAAATAATGAACACCACTCAGAAACCGGGGAATTCCAGACAACAACAACAACAACAACAATGACAACAACAACAATGAACCACAACAACCGCACACCATAAACTCAAATGGGTGGAACCATTCTGGCTTCTCTGGGGAACGAGTTGCTTGTTTTGGGTGAAAGCAGAGTCAGAGCAGAAGTCATCCAGGGTCAATGGGAAGCAGTCATCCAGGGTCAGTGTGGAATTACCCAGATCCTGTTTCCCACCTGCCAGACAGACAGCCGATAATAATCTCCAGTATCCAAGTCCCAAAATAGTCACTAGAGACAGGAGATCTCCATTATAGTGAGTTTATTGATCAGCTAAACGCACGGTGAACTTTACGCAAATGAGAGCGCCACGCCACACCTCGGTCCAGCTTCTGTTTTTACAGACAATGTAATTTTCATTTCCTGAAAAAGCTAGCGCTGTTATGTCAGTGCTAGCGTATTAGCCTCCTAGTTTATTTCCATTGTCTATGAGAAGATTGATGGCCTTGCTGTGTCAACTGGTTTTCCTATTCTACCCCCTCACCCTGTGATTAAGCTTTGAAGTCTTAGCAAAGCAACCCATTAAATCGGTTCTTTTGAAGTTCCGTGCTGGGTCAGGCTAACCCTTCTCGGAGGCTGCTAGAGCTTAACTAACTAACTTTCAGGTGAAGCACAGAGCAGTGATCAATATCAATCTGCTTGAGTTGTGTTGGAGCTCAATCTGTGGTTGTGTTTAAGGATCAGGGTACTTTGGATGTGGGGAATGACGACAATGAGGTTCATGAAGGTAATGGTGTTTCCAATGATATTGATGCAGAAAAAGTGTATTTTCTCATGAGAATGTTCCTGAAGGGTGTGACGGCACGAGTGGCGCCACCTATATGTAGAACTGTAAGTTGCAAGATTTGAACTGTTGTATCATGCCCGATTTTGCCTTTTTACCCTGTAAATGTATAGTTGGATTGATTGGTTATTTATAGCTGTCAATCAATGTTTTTTGCATCAGTTGAATTGCTCCTCCTGCTCAATTGTTTGACCCCACCTCTTCCTAGAGAGCAGGGCAGTGTTTCCTTTTCCATTCCACCATCAAACTTTCTATCAGGTGGTCATGAGAGAGAGACTTGGCTTTGAAGCCCTTGATTAAGTTACCTCTCAGCACCAATTCTGAGGTTCTTACCCTTGAGACTTATGCTTCATGTTCAGATCAACCTGGACAACGCTGAGAAATATCAAGCGCCTTCAAACCAGTTCTTTGGCACCAGAGGAAGGCTTTGTGCCTTCAAAATATAGGCCATTGGAATTGGGGTTGTGATTATTCCGATATTCACAGCCATTGAGAAAGAGGGACCTGGAAAAGCTTCTCAGCTGCATACTCCTTGGACCCAAGACAACCAGAGACTAATATATATTGTCCTTTATTCCCTTTGAAACTTCCAGCTTATTGCCTTAAAGGGATAACTCTTTGTGAACAATAAAAACCTATTTTGAGTTATCTACAGTGTTTTGGTCCTTGGGAGTTCCAGTTTTCCTAAAGGAGGGCAAGGAGCAATCCCCTGGGGGAAAGATGTCACGTTTTAGCCTATTTCAGGCGCAACGGCACAAAGAGTGTGGGGATTATGGTGTGCTCCCTGAATTGCTACCAGAGGATTCTCATACTTTGGAGCCTGAGAACAGCTCGGCACCTAGCCCAGCTGCAGAAATTAATGAGCAAATAGATAGATGGGATGTTATTAGTCAGAATAGGAAAGCAGGTCAGTGCCTCAGGCGTTCTGCCAGGCTCAAAGAAAGAATGATAAGAGATTCAAGGCTAAAACGAAACCCATTTCTGGCTACTTAGGACATAGTGTAATAAGGAGATAAAAGTCCCAAGTACAGGATCTGTAATCAGATGAAGCATCATTTGGAATCAAGTGAAGACCTCGTTCCTGTTCCTTGGAAATCTTGCTTTGGAAAGATTAATGTGTTAAGTGCCTTTGATTCATGTTTTCAATTCTTGGATTTTATGATCATGTTTTAAGTGTTCTTGGATTCATGTTTCCAGTTTTTGGATTATACTATAGAAGTTTCTGCATTTGTTTGTCATGAACTTTGATGGACTAATTTCCAGGGCATTGGTTCTGGCTTATGTTCTTACCTGATTGGATTCACCTATTCCTTTAAAGTGCTTTTTACTATTACTGCTTTTTAATTATCCTCTGTTTGTAATTCATCTGTGCAATTTTCTTGCAGCAGCTGAGGATATGATCCATGGTTTCCTCAGCTTCCTTGCACAGCCTGCATTTTGGGCCATCCGCTGATTTTTCAATCCTGGCCTTAATGGCCTTGGTCCTGATGGCTTGCTCCTGGGCTACAAGGATCAGGCCTTCTTCTGTCTCCTTCTTCAAGGTTCCATTCGTGAGCCATCACCAGGTCTTCTCTTGTCAACTTTTCCTTCAGTCTTCTCAAGGAACTGCCCATGCGATGCTTTGTTGTGCCAGCTGTCAGCTCTGGTTTGGAGTGAAGTTTTCTTGTACTGACTCTTTGTCTGCTGTGTTTTAAGGTTCCAATTCTTGACTTCCATCAAAGCTGGTTCTTGGCTTTCCTTGACATATTCTGCCAGGGCATTATGTTTGTCTTCTTCGACTGCTTGTTTGTCTTGTTTTACAAGTCAAACAAGCAGTTTGACTTGTTTTCTCAGCCGATTGAGCTGGTCAACATCACTGCGAGGATGCAGGGAATTATGAATGGTTATGAGTTTCCTTGTTTGTCTGTCCAAATTGTCCGGTTCTGCCTGCATCCAGTTTATTATGCCAGCAGTATATTTTATGACCTGTATGGCCCAGGTGTTGATGGCCTTGATGGTATTGCCTCCATTGAACTTGCTTTTGAGAAATTATTATTGTTATTGGGTTGTTGTAGGTTTTTCCGGGCTATATGGCCATGTTCTAGAGGCATTTTCTCCTGACGTTTCGCCTGCATCTATGGCAAGCATCCTCAGAGGTACTGAGGTCCTCACTACCTCACTATCTCTGAGGTGCTTGCCATAGATGCAGGTGAAATGTCAGGAGAAAATGCCATCAGGTGAAACGTCAGGAGAAAATGCTACCTCACTACCTCTGAGGATGCTTGCCATAGATGCAGGTGAAACGTCAGGAGAAAATGCCATCAGGAGAAAATGCTACCTCACTATCTCTGAGGATGCTTGCCATAGATGCAGGTGAAACGTCAGGAGAAAATACCGTCAGGAGAAAATGCTACCTCACTACCTCTGAGGATGCTTGCCATAGATGCAGGTGAAACGTCAGGAGAAAATGCCATCAGGCGAACCGTCAGGAGAAAATGCTACCTCACTACCTCTGAGGATGCTTGCCATAGATGCAGGTGAAACGTCAGGAGAAAATACCGTCAGGTGAAACATCAGGAGAAAATGCTACCTCACTACCTCTGAGGATGCTTGCCATAGATGCAGGTGAAACGTCAGGAGAAAATGCCGTCAGGCGAAACATCAGGAGAAAATGCTACCTCACTACCTCTGAGGATGCTTGCCACAGATGCAGGTGAAACGTCAGGAGAAAATGCCTCTAGAACATGGCCATATAGTCTGGAAAACCTACAACAACCTATTACATGTAGCCCGCTGATTGTCACTGTGATTGTGTTTATTATATTATTATTATTATTATTATTATTATTATTTATTTATTGACCACACATGCCTAGTAATTCATCGTTAGCACTATTCCAACCACTGTCTCTTCAAGTTGTTGAAGGTGAGTTTGGACAGGTGACCACTCACGCTCCCCATCTTTCTTTGCAGATTCCTGGCAGGAGCTGCTGCCCACCTTGACGCGTGCGGACGCCGACCTCCCGGGGCTGTACTTTCTGGGGGGCACGGACCCACTCTTTGTGTTGGGGGGCAACACACAGGGCAATGTGGTCACCACCTTCAGCCTCGATCGCCGGGAGTGGGGTCCGGTCCGAGCACTGCCCAAGTGCGGTCTGGCAGGGCAGGGCCTGGCGCTGGACAATGGGATGCTCTTCATGGCCTCTCCGGACGCAGACGCCATCCTGGAAGTGGACTTGGAGGGTCTCTGCTGCCGCCCGCTGCCCCCGCCTCCCTTCCCCCTCTTCTATGAGGCCCTCTTCCTCCTCCACTTCCCAGCGTCCACTCCTGAAGAGGAAGAGGAACAGGGGGGCTTGGGAGACCCCAATACATGAGTGTACGCCCCATTGCGAGTCTGGGGTCAGGTGGAGAGAAGCCATAGTCCCACTCTCTTCTTCTTTGGTCAGATCTTCTCATTGGAATAATAGTTTGTTTGGGTTGTTGTAGGTTTTTTCGTGCTATATGGCCATGTTCTAGAGACATTCTCTCCTGACGTTTCGCCTGCATCTATGGCAAGCATCCTCAGAGGTTGTTAGCTACCTCTGAGGATGCTTGCCATAGATGCAGGCGAAACGTCAGGAGAGAATGCCTCTAGAACATGGCCATATAGCACGAAAAAACCTACAACAACTCAGTGATTCCGGCCATGAAAGCCTTCAACAGTACAATAGTTTGTTTATTTATTTACTAGCCATTCCCTGCCACGCATTGCTGTGGCCCACATGGGGGTTCTGTGTGGGAGGTTTGGCCCAATTCTATCGTTGGTGGGGTTCAGAATGCTCTGTGATTGTAGGTGAACTATAAATCCCAGCAACTACAACTCCCAAATATCAAGATTCTATTTTCCCCAAACTCCACCAGTGTTCACATTTGGGCATATTGAGTATTTGTGTAGAGTTTGGTCCAGATCCATCATTGTTTGAGTCCACAGTGCTCTGGATGTAGGTGAACTACAACTCCAAAACTAAAGGACAATGCCCACCAAACCCTTCCAGTATTTTCTGTTGGTCAAATGAGTTCCGTGTGCCAAGTTTGCTTCACTTCTATCGTTGGTGGGGTTCAGAATGCTCTGTGATTGCAGGTGAACTATAAATCCCAGCAACTCCAAATCCAAAATATCAAGATTCTATTTTCCCCAAACTCCACCAGTGTTCACATTTGGGCATATTGAGTATTTGTGTAGAGTTTGGTCAAGGTCCATCATTGTTTGAGTCCACAGTGCTCTCTGGATGTAGGTGAACTACAACTCCCAAACTCAAGGACAATGCCCACCAAACCCTTCCAGTATTTTCTGTTGGTCAAATGAGTTCCGTGTGCCAAGTTTGCTTCACTTCCATCGTTGGTGGGGTTCAGAATGCTCTGTGATTGCAGGTGAACTATAAATCCCAGCAACTCCAACTCCCAAATGTCAAGATTCTATTTTCCCCAAACTCCACCAGTGTTCACATTTGGGCATATTGAGTATTTGTGCCAAGTTTGGTCCAGGTCCATCATTGTTTGAGTCCACAGTGCTCTCTGGATGTAGGTGAACTACAACTCCCAAACTCAAGGACAATGCCCACCAAACCCTTCCAGTATTTTCTGTTGGTCAAATGAGTTCCGTGTGCCAAGTTTGCTTCACTTCTATCGTTGGTGGGGTTCAGAATGCTCTGTGATTGCAGGTGAACTATAAATCCCAGCAACTCAACTCCCAAATGTCAAGATTCTATTTTCCCCAAACTCCACCAGTGTTCACATTTGGGCATATTGAGTATTTGTGTAGAGTTTGGTCCAGATCCATCATTGTTTGAGTCCACAGTGCTCTCTGGATGTAGGTGAACTACAACTCCCAAACTCAAGGTCAATGCCCACCAAACCCATCCTTCTTAACCTCCGAAGAGGGACTCAGGACGGCTAACAACAAGCCGATACGATATAGTAACATAGCATAAAATACAATTAGCATAAATTAAAACGGTTATAAATATACATTAAAACAGTGAGTACTGTGCCCAATGGCGCACACTACTCACATCCACACAATCATCACAAAGAGCTTGCATTCTGGGATGAATCTCCTTTGGGGTGACACCTTCTGCTGTCAAGAATGCATTGACTGCACGTTGTTTAAGTCACATGGACTGACCATCTGCGCAGGGTTCCATATATTGCACTTTAACAACACAACCGTTCAAAGCCAAGGCTTCCCACCAAAATGGAACTGTACAGGAGAGTCTACTGAACAAGCCAGAACCTGCCACATTCCAGGACTGCCATCTGTTGAGGAGTTACAAAGGTGGAGGCATTACACAGCCATTCAATGCTAAGGCTTCCTGCCAATATGGAACTGTAGAGGAGAGTCTACTAAACAAGCCAGTACCTGCTGCATATGTTGCTTAAATCGCATTGACAGACTGTCTGTGCAGGGTTCCATGCTTCACACTTTAACAACACAACCGTTCAATGCTAAGGCTTCCCACCAAAATGGAACTGTAGAGGAGAGTCTCCTGAACAAACCAGTACCTGCCGCATACGTTGCTTAAGTCGCATTGACCGACCGTCTGCGCAGGGTTCTGTACTTTGCATTTTAACAACACAACCGTTCAATGCTAAGGCTTCCTGCCAAAATGGAACTGTAGAGGAGAGTCTACTGAACAAGCCAGTACCTGCTGCATACGTTGCTTAAGTCACATTGAAAGAACGTCTGCGCAGGGTTCCATACTTCACACTTTAACAACACAACCGCTCAATGCTAAGGCTTCCCACCAAAATGGAACTGTAGAGGAGAGTCTACTGAACAAGCCAGTACCTGCCGCATACGTTGCTTAAGTCGCATTGACCGTCTGCGCAGGGTTCCATACTTTGCAGTTTAACAACACAACCGTTCAATGCTAAGGCTTCCTTCCAAAATGGAACTGTAGAGGAGAGTCTACTGAACAGGTCAGTACCTGTTGCATACCAGCACTGCCATCTGTTGAGGAGTTACGAAGGTAGAGGCATTACTTTTCATTCAACCCTTGTAAATGGCCACATACATTGCTTAAGTCGCATTGACCGATCGTCTGCGCAGGGTTCCATACTTCTCACTTTAACACCACAACTGTTCAATGCTAAGGCTTCCCACCAAAATGGAACTGTACAGGAGAGTCTACTGAACAAGCCAGAACCTGCCTCATTCCAGTACTGCCATCTATTGAGGAATTACGAAGGTGGAGGCATTACTTTTCATTGGGAAACTACAGCAAAATGTGCTCCTCACGATCTCTCTTGCAGAAACAAGGTTTGTGGACTTTAATCAACGTTCCCCATGTTTTTAGGACGGAGTTAATTAGGAAATGGCCTTAATGACCCAGGAACAAGAATGGTGCCGCCTGCCCCATGGACGCTGCCCTTTCACCCAGATTCGGAGGCTAATTCCGGCCCTTGGCGGAGAGCAGCTGACCCTTTTTTCCATCCAAGGCAGACAGGGCTTCCCTCACATGCATGCCGCGCATAGCCGGCCCATGCACTGCACACACACACATTGACGCAGACGTCCTTCGTACTCTCTGCCTTGCATCCCACTCTGTTCATGTATATATGCAAAGGCAGGTGGAGGGCAGCCTAAAGGTCACCTAGTCCAACCCCGTCGCCTCCAAAAGCATATCATTTGCACCCTTTTGCACCCACTGACACACAACACGGTATGTCTGAAGAAAGGCATTGAAAGAAGCTCGACCCCTGGACACTTTGGTTCGGCCTCTTTTGAACCCAGGTCCAGCCCAGGAAGCAGAAATGGTTGTCAGTGAGGCAAGTGGAGTGCATAACATATCTGAGTGGGAGAAAGAGCCCTTCCCTGTTGGAAGCAAGGCCGAAGCAAGACAGGGGTTCTTCTTCCCATCCTGGACATGAATATACTCCACTTGCCTCACTGCCAACAGAACCTCTGAAGATGCCATCAGCCACAGATGCAGGTGGAACATCAGGAGAGAATGCTGCTGGAACAGGGCCAGGCAGCCCAGAAAACTCACAGCAACTCTGTGAATGTTGCAATTAGCCAGTTTGAATAGTACTTGAGTAGTCATGAAGCTGCAAAGTCAATCAGTGAGGGTGTCTGCCTTGAGGGAGCCTGGCCTCTGTCGCCTGGAGGCACCCTCTGTTTGGGAGGTGTTCACTGGTTCTTGGTTGTTTGCTGTCTGGAGTTGTCCTGTTCCTGAGTGGTGCCCTGTGGAATAATGTCCAGGGTGGGAGCACACTCCACTTGCCTCAGTTCCCTGGACATTATTCCACAGGTATTTAGGTGTGTGTGTGTGTGTGTGGAGTGTGTGTGTATATATACCTGTGGAATAATGTCCAGGGAACTGAGACAAGTGGTGTGTGTGTGTGTGTGTGTGTACACACACACACACATACACATACACTCCACTTGCCTCACTTCCCTGGACATTATTCCACAGGTATATATATATACAGCTTATATCTAGATGCATTTTAATGCACCTTGATGAGCAGTCCATATATATATATATACACATACATACACACACACACACACACACACACATATATATATATATATATATATATATATATATATGTGTGTGTGTGTACACACACATACACACTCTATATATATATATATACACACACACATACATATATGAAGTGTGCGTACACAAACATACACACTCCATATATATATATATATATATATATACACACACACACTTACATACATATATGGAGTGTGTGTACACATACACACTCCATATATATATATACACACACACACTTACATATATATATGGAGTGTGCGTACACAAACATACTCCATATATATCTATATACACACACACATACATATATGGAATGTGCATACACAAACATACACACTCCATATATATATACACACACACACATATATATATATGGAGTGTGTGTACACATACATACAGACATATATATATATATATATATATATATAGATATAGATATAGATATAGATATATATATATATATACACACACACGCACACACACACATATATATATGGAGTGTGCATACACACATACACACTCCATATATATATATATGCACACACACACACACACATACATATATGGAGTGTGCGTACACAAACATACACTCTCCACACACACACACATACATATATATATGGAGTGTGTGTACACACACATGCAGGCGAAACGTCAGGAGAGAGTGCTGCTGGAACATATTGGCCATACTCCAGCTTGAAGAACTCACAGCAGCCCAGAGATTCCGGCCCTGAAAGGCTTGGCCAACCCAGCAAAGGCTCCTCCTCCTCCTCCTCCTCTTTGGCCAGGTGAGGGAGGAAGGTGACCTTCTACCTGGTCAAGGCATTCCAGGAGGGCAGGTTTTAACTGTTTGTGTCCCGTGTTGCGTGCCTGTCTTTCGAGAGTGATTTACCTCTGAAGGATGTCGCACCACGCCTCGAGCCGCAAGGAGAGGCGAGTCATCCATTCAGTGTTGTTGTTGTTGTTGTTGTTGTTGTTGTTGTTGTTGTGATCTTAAAGTGGGCTAGG